TTGTTTAGTAAATTGTGCCAAGTTTATTAATCAGAAACAGACCAGCAAATCAATGTGTACATGTTTGATGTTAATTTTGATTTTGTTAAATAAATGACCACATTTATTCTGATGGGTCAAAGATAAAATGGTGTCTCATGTCACTGATTAAACACTCCACTCACAAGTTATCTTGGTCACATGGAAGAAATTTAAGTCGAAAAAGAAAAGAATCAGTTGTAATTGAACAATTAATATTCTTTGTGCTTGAACTAGCTTTAAGAATAATTAATTAGTAGTGAAGCTAACAGCTACTTCACTACAGCTTTATCCCTTTTTTATCTAAAAAAAATGTATTCCGAATAAGAATTAGAAGGCTGCGCTTTATAGCAGTGGCTTTGTGCACTCTGTCCATCTTTCAGACGGCTGTATGTACATGTTCTCATTGTATCTCGGTGCAATGATAATAATGCTTATTCTGATTCCTATATATGCAAGTACAACAATTGTACTGAATAAGGGGGACACTGAATTTGCCTTTTACATTTTTATTACAGAATAGTTCACCAAAATGAAAAATAACAGCATTAAACAAAACTGAACAACACAAATCATAAAGGATACTAATTTGGAGAATAAATTGATTGAAAAAAGCAATTAGTTACTTAACACTAGAAGTCCCAGAGAAGGGTCATTTAACATTTCTACCTTTGGAACCCAGAGACGGGTCGAGTGACCTGAAGGATTTTAGCTAACATCCTATAATGAGCTGTTAACAGGCGCTTTTGTTTTGTAAATAAGGCCATTACTGGTGCACCACAGGAGGGGGCACGCTTAACTCCCAACTAACTCTTTTCCATTGAGTTTAGCCATTTAGTTTCTAGTTAGTTATATTCAGTTTATTGTATTTTATAATATGAAGATTTTTTATATATATATTGGTGGCACGTTGTTACATATTTTGAACAAATTGAAGTCGATTTACCGTTTATTTTTCAATTGGTTTGGCTCATTTCTTGAAACCGAGATGACATTCTCAAAACACCATGTGAAACACAACTCAAGAGACTTTGCATTTTGAGGTTACTGACAATTTGTATGAAACACATATTTTGTTTTTATATATATAGTATTTAGCTTAGTTTTGAGCAAAAAAGCACAGACCATAAGCAATTGTGTGTAAGTCAAGAGGACTAAAACTTCAGCATGAGAAATATAAAAAACAACAACCGTTATTTGTCTCCATGCTTTTTATTTTTGTCATAAAAATACAAGGGATAAAATAATTCTACACATATTTACACTATGCTCTAGTGGGGGGGCTGTGTGTGTGTGACTGGCATTTCAGCACTCACTCAGCAGTCCATCTGCACTGTCGAAACATACCTGGCACTGCCAGGGTACGTCCCTGGTACATTTGCCACATGTGTATTTGTAGCAGTTGACGCATCTCACAGTTGCACAATTGTTCGTGCATCGATGTTTGATCTGACACTTTGCCCTTTTGCCAGGGCTGGGTGTGGAAGGTTGTTGCTGAAGCAGTTTCTCCTTGCGTGCCTTCTTCTCACAATTAATTTGGTTATTTTTTTTAAACTGTCATTTTGAACCCACTTCTCTTTTTTCTGAAAGAAAAACATTACTAAAATCTTTTAGAAAAACTTTTGCATATATCTTGAAACAGATTGTATGTTTTGCAAACTTTTGTTTTGTTTTGTTCATTTGGCAAAATGACCTGGATAATGCATCTCTCCCAAAACACTTCATGTATGCTTCAAAACAAAATATGTGTTTCATACAAATTGTCAGTAACCTCAAAATGCAAAGTCTCTTGAGTTGTGTTTCACATGGTGTTTTGAGAATGTCATCTCGGTTTCAAGAAATGAGCCAAACCAATTGAAAAATAAACGGTAAATCGACTTCAGTTTGTTCAAAATGTGCACCAACGTGCCACCAAGAGATATAAGTTCAAAATATAACCAGTTGATTTCGTATCTGTTTGGAGTATTAGACGGACGTTTGTGTGAGTTCAGCTTATCTCTCCCCTGCTGATTCCTAAGGCAATGGCCACATTTACAAATGAAAGGATGCTAATTGGAGCCATCAGAGTTGTCCGGTTTGAAGCACTACTTTGACTAAGGCTGTGCTTTTTTGCGCAAGTGAACCTGGCTTCTAAATCCCCCACTCCCTGGATTGGACATTGGAATGCAGTCTGGTGAGGTGGGTGTGTCTGAGTTACTTGTGTGCATATTTAAAACAAATGGCAGTTAATGGCCCGCAAATTGTTGAGGAGAAGGAGGGGGTTTGTCCTCAGGATCTTGAAAATCTAGTCACTCTAGTGCTAAGGGTCTTTTGACCCTTTTTCAGGACTTCTGGGGGGAGGTCGAAATTCCTGGGACTTCTAGTGTTAAACTATAAAGAACAATCTTCTTCTTCATTCGGCTTTTCCCTCTTCAGGGCTCGCCACAGCGAGTCATCCTCATCTATCTCACTCTGTCCTCTGCATCCTCTGTCCTCACTCCATCTACCTCCATGTCATCTCAAACTGCATCCATCACTTTGATGAATTTGTATTATTGTTTTGGCAAGTGTTTTGCGTTGGATGCCCTTCTTGACACAACCCTCACCAGCTTAGGACTGGCACAAGAGATACACTGGCTTGTGCTCCCTAGTGTCTAAACAATATTTATTCAGGGGGTATCAGGTTTTTGTGGTCCTCCGTATCATGTTTGGTGAAGGATCAGAACCTAATTTCAAAAATCAAACTTAAAAAAAAAAACGATAAGGTAAAATAAATAAACAAATTTATTTACAAAAATCTAAACAAAAGGCCGACAAAGCAGCACAAAAATTTACAATTGAAAACTTGAAGTACTCACAACTGAAAAATTCTTGACATTCAAAATGGAAACCAACATGAACTGCTTGAAAGCATAACACACGGACAAGGGACAAACAAATTGACAGTGCCTAAATAAACACTAGTAAGGGGAAAAATAATCATCTGGAGTTTCTTACAAAGTTGTCTGTTCATCTGGACAGTTTCTTCTTCAAAAGTTTTGTCTTGTTGCATGCATCAAGGTTATTTTGAATCACTTTGGCCAGGATTGCTTCAAATTAGTTTGAGAGTTTTTATCAGGTGGCAAGGGAGAGGGTGGTCTACAGGAACCACCTGAGCACCAGCAAACTGGTTGGTCCACTATAGCCTGGTATCCACAGGTCTGGTTCTTGTTGTAGCCTGTTGTGTCCGGTTCTAGTGGGACCTCTATTTTTGTGTCTCCACTTTGCCTATAGTTCCCGTTTAGTGGGCGGATTATTAATATCAACGCACCTTACCAGCTGGTGGCGGTAGTGCTACATTAAGCTCTTTTCTAAGCACCACTAACATGTATTAGAAGAAGAGCTGGAAAACAACACACAACCAAAATGGATGACGTCGATGAACTTGAAGCAGAACCAGCCGCACAGCCCGTCCTGGTCGCTGTCCCACAAGATGGAGAGCAGGGCCGAGGTGTCAGAGATGCTCTGATGGAGTACCTCATGAGCTGTAACTTATCCTAATTCCACCCCTTAATCTTTTTTACCTCCCCAGCCTTCCTTAGATACAAGTGAACGTTAAAGTGTTGATTTGAAAATAAACATGGATTAATAATTATTCTTGTTTGTTTAATGTACAGACATGCCTTATTACCAGGTTCATGTAAAAATGGCAAAACAAACACTGCTGCTGTGCTTCTATCACATATGCTGCGTTTTTTAGTGGCTGTAGTTTTAGAAAAACTGTAATCTCTTTAATTTTTGTTTTTAACAAAGAACCAAAACCTACAACAAGAACTTTTTATTTGTTTATGCATATATACATTCATCTATTTTAATATTTATATATATATATATATATATATATATATATATATATATAT